TCACTTATCTCAATTTTCTCTTGTTTAACAAAATGTTGATAGTTTTTACCTCATTATGTAATCTTGTAAAATTAGGAAGTTATTAAACATACGGTCTTTTTCAGATTTAAAAATTAATATTTCTAGTGCGAACATCTGTACAAGAATGTAATGTAATGAGCTCGCAATTTTTACTTTGTGCTTTTAACGAAGCAAAAAAGTTTTATTGGTATACTTTAGTGAGAGAATAATCGAGTGCATTTTAATTTGTGAAAATGACTATATGTGCTTGATAGGGAGTGGAAATTCTTGTCTCCATACATTCAGTCAAAGTTGTGAACTTCTGACATTTTTTAACAATTATTTGACCTCACATCACATAAAAATAATGAACTACAACTAACTAATTCATCCCTTTTTATTTCAGGGTTCCAAAGAAGTTTGGGACGGATCTCCAGTTCGGTTGATAAAACCTACAACACCAGATTCAAACTCGACCAACGAAGAAGGTGAGTAAAATGATGTTTGAAGTTTGTAATTTTCTACTATTAAAACTTTGCTGTAAATGTAATGCAAGAGAAGAGTTGACATAAGAGGGATTTGTACTTTTTTAATTTTTCTGGAGAACCTTTAGTAAAATAATATAAAAATGTGTCTCTGAGATGAAAGGTTTATTTTTTTTATTTTATTCATTTCCTCAAAAGATCATACAAAATTTACAAGAAAGACACTTCCTAGGAATTAACAATGCAGCTGATACAGCTGATAGGTTGAGCATAAAATAAAATCATCGTCGAAAAGAAAACAATTAAAATTAGTATGTACATGTAAAAAGCAAGAAGTTGTGTTTTTTTTCCCTCCTTTATCGAGTTGTATCAGCATAGTACTTACACTTTTCCTTTTTTGCTCGATGTGAATTTCGGTTGTCAACTTAAAACTTAAAACACTCAAAACATAGTGTTTTAAGTTTTAAGTTGACAACCAAAATTCACATCGGGCGAAAAATGAAAAGTGTCCGTACTATGCAAAAGCAAGAAGATTGTAAGATATGATTGCAAGAGATGTAAGTAGATGAAATATTAGTCAGCAGGCTGATTATTGATATTGATAGACAAAGCGACAAATGAAAAAGACGAAGGGAAAATGGAGCAATCCTATTGGTTGAAACAGGTGGTTTTATAGACAAAAAGGGATTAATTGTAGGGTCTCTCGTGGTTTGCAGTCAGTCGGTCCATTACTGTCCTATAGATATCCTTTGCCTATTGCAACTCTAAGTTTCTACCCACAGCATTGCTCTATTTTCCTAATGTCTATTTTGTCCCTCACTTTGTCTATCATTATCAATAATCAGGTTTTAGGTGCCTAAGAAGGTAGAGTTACTTCCAAATTGTAAATGGCTGAAAAAATAATAGGAATCTAGATCCAGATGGTGAAACTCCAGATGCAGTTACGACAAATGAAGAATATATGAGACTGTGTCATTTTTTTTATGAATGTTACAATTAATCTCACAAAAATTAATTCATCAATAATTATAAATGAATCTAATTTTTTGTTATGTGTAAGTAGAGTTTCTTGCTTCCATGTTTACCAGGTTAGTTAAATTGCTATTTTTACTCCTCTGTTTTTAGATGCTGCTTTGTATTCCAATGATGTGAATAGTTGCAGTTATTTGAAACGTCGAAACTTAACAGTCACCTGTCAAGACTGAGCAGCATTTCTTTTACCTACGGATAGAATTTGAAATTCTGAACTCTCCGTCTCTTCTCTCTATTTAAAGACTTCATGACTTATAAAGTTTCTGTGATTTATTTTGTTATTTTGTTTTAATTAATTGCTCCTCTTCTCTCGTTTGTTTTGTGTGGTTTTATTTTGTTGTTTTTCAATTGTATATATTAATATTTCGATAGCCAAGGTGCGCGGTCACATGTCTCCATTGCAGTGTTTCAAAGTTGCCGCTCTTATTTTATTTTTTTTTTGAGAGCAACAAGCCCTCCTCTTTGCTTGAGATTTCTGCAGAGTATTTTGCTAATCAAGAGGATAAATCATGGAAGTTTTCAAGGAATCATGTTGACTCGTTTTTCAAAGAAAAAATGAAGTATGACAGGAAGTCTGCAATGTCGCAGACGGAGATACGTGCTTTCGCAATTTGGTTATCGATTCTCTCTAAGAAGGTGAGAAAAGTACCTTGATCATTGCAGTATTTGCTAGTTAGAAAATTATTTTAAGTAATCTTAGTAGCATTTATTTAATTTTGCTCAAGAGAGCTAGTTTTAGTCAGTCATTTAGATTTCTTTAAGTTGTATCAATTTCGATTTGTACAACTTTGTTTCAGCTTACCATTGTGTTTGTGCGTTTCTTATGTTGGCTTCTGAAGTTGATGTTTGCGTATGATAAGCTTGCCATTTTGCCAGTAATTTAATCTTTTTGATTTGATGTCATTGCATTTTACTCATCAAAGACGAATCAAATTAAATTTTTTAAGTTTTATCTCTGTGCAGTTATTTTGTTCATTCCCTTTCATTTTTAACTGGGGGTTAGAATGAATATTTTTATTTGTGCAATACTATGAAGACGCTTCCCTGTGATTTTTGGTAGTGCAGCGGTTGTAGTGCTTGACCCTTGACCTATGTCAGAGAGGTCGTAGGTTGGATTCTTAGCCTCCGACACTAATTGCTCGTTACTGTTGATGGGATTTGGAATCAAAGCGCAGGGTTAGTCATCAGGAATATTTGAAATGCAATCACAAATTCAGATTACAGTTTTCCTGTATATCCACACACTCACCTTCACTAGCATTTTGTAATGCTAAAATGAGCCTACCTCACTCCTAAAATTTCATTACACTTCAACGGCGTAAGTCTGCAATCACATATCTCGTTTGCGGTGTCTGAAAATCTCCACCTCTATGTTATTTTTTTAAAGGAGAACAAATTGACATTTTTCCTTGAAGTTTTTGTAGAATTTTTTTTTGCACTGAGAAGAAAAATCACGGAAGTCTTAAAGAATTGCCGTTAAGTACCTAGTTTTCCTTTTAAAAAATCAATAAGTATGACAGGAAGTCTGCGACGTCGCAAACCGAGTTATGTGATTGCTGACTTACACTGTCGACTTGCACAGTAGCCTTCTCTTCTTTCCTCAAATTGATATAAAATACATAGAGGCACCATTAGAAGAGTAGAGCTAGGTTACCTGCAAGTATAGAAGACTTAGAGTAGATATTAGGTATGAGATCTGAGCTGTGCTACCTTGTTGAATGTCGATGAAAAGCAGTGTCCACTAAGAAAAGGTATGTTTTCCTAGAAAGGTGACTTATGTTCAAGACGTCTTAGAGTAGATATTAGGTATGAGATCTGAGCTGTGCTACCTTGTTGAATGTTGATGAGAAGCAGTGTCTACGAAGAAAAGGTATGTTTTTCCTAGAAAGATGACTTATATTCAAGACCTCTTACTGTCAGGTCACATATTCATTCCTGCTTTTCACGTGCTAATATTTCAATTTTTCAAAATTGACCGTGTTTAGCAGAAAGGAGCCAAGCCACATCAGGTATTACCAAATTTAATCGAACAATTTAATTTTTTACAAGAGAACGTTTGTGGGATTCCTTTGAAAACTTTAAGAAATTACTTTGTAGTGTGCAGACAACTCACTGAAACTTGCACAAAAATCCGCACAACCGTTTTTATGTAAAAAAGGAAATTGCCCAATAAAAGTCGGCAATACCTGATTTAGCTTGGTTCTTTTCTGCTTAACGCGGTCCAAATAATGTTTCGCAAAATTTTATCCCCTCAAGCAAGTCAAAATGGTAAGGTGTACTTATGGTGATAATTTATTTTTAACTAATACATTTACTGTACCGTTATTCAACTCTGCAATATAGACGTGAAAATCAGGAAAAGCATTACATATTCTAGATTTCTTTGTCGAATTACATATTAAAATATTTACCTTACACTTATCTCTATTTAATGCCTTCTGCCCCCCCCCCCCTGTGACGAAATCTACAGGATCGAATTTTTGGCCTATCGAAAAAACAGGAGCAGATTGCGAGTTGACTCTCGCAGCCATTTCCGTATTTTACATAGCTGGCTACGTCTTGGAACGCCTTCATTATTCGCGATCCTTAGCGTTCTGTTGCGCCTTTGGACGATACGCACTCTAACATCGGCGATAGGATCAGTCAAAGCACATTATGGAGCGATAAAAATATGCGTTTTTCAGATAGGTAACTATTCGCATTTCGCGGCAGATTTGTTGCCTATACGACAAAATTGAAGGCGAATCTAAAGTAGACGCTTTCTGCCGTCAGGTTCATGTAAAGTGCACTGGCTGTATCATCGAAGTCGGTGGAGAAAGATAGCGACGTGTTCCTCAAGTAGATAACTATTCGCAATTTCCGGTACGTGTGTTGGCCATGCAGAGAAATTGAAGGCCGACTTCTAATGTAGGTAACTAATCGTGCTTCGTGGTAGGTTTGTTGCCTACGCGGCGGAATTGAAGGCGAATCTAAGGGGGACGATGCATTGATGGTGAAACTACCAAACCACGTATCTCGGTTTGCGACATTGGAGACTTATTCTGCCGTGCTAAGGAAGAACACCGCATGAACATTCTAGAGTTTCTAAATTTTCATCGATAAAACATATTTTTGACATCATTCATGCACATTTCTCCTTGGAATTTTCAAATATTTTAGATTCCATTGCGTACAAAATCGTCTGAAAATTTTGAAAAAAGTATTCACGATTTCCCCAGTTAATTTGGTTTTTATAGAAGGAAATTTGGCAACTTTTGAGAGCTCATACAGGGCCGGATTAAGGGGGTGGCCACATGGGCCGCGGCCCATGGCGGCAAATCTAGGGGACGGCAAATTTTGCAATTTTTTAAATGTAGGTATAAAAAAATTGGATTTAGAAAAAAAAAAAAATTACGAACGAGAAAAGGTCACAAAATCTCTCATTTCCTGAGAGTAAGGTAATTTCTAATTTTGTCGTCTTTCAGTGATACAAGAGACAGCTTCTTTAATTAGTCGAGTTAAGAGAGAAACCAAACATACAATTTGGCCTGGAACGGCGCGACTTAGGGAGAAATGATGACGAGGACTTGAGATGAAAAGGAGAAGCCCTCGGCGCAGTGGTCGGCATGTAACACATATTAGCGCCTACATGACTGCACGAAAACATCACGCATTGCATCAAACGCAGTGCGGTTATCGTGGTCAGCGTGAAACGGATAGCGCCTACAAGAATGCATGAATACTTCACGCATTGCGGCAAACACAGTGCGATCAGCGTGAAACGCATAGCGCCTACAAGACTGCGTGAATACTTCACGCATTGCGCCAATCACGGTGCGGTCGGCGCGGCACGGCGCGGCAGCGGACGTTAAAATCATTGAACCAAATTTTGTGTTTAATTTTTTCGTTCATTTCTTATGAATGGAAGGCCTTGTTCATGAGAGATGGGTTTACGAAACTTTACTTTCGCGCAAAGTTCCGTGACCTTTTGCTAGTAGTGTTGACAGGGCTTTCCCAAAAAATGTGTTCAACACGAGTGAACGCACCTTATGTACCCCTCCCCCGCTGGCACGTTCACTTGATGGTTTTTATTGATGTTTCAAAACGAATGAGAAGGGGGCGGAAAAATACAGGCGGCCCATGGGCGGCAAGTAGGAAAATCCGGCCCTGGGCTCATGCGGCGTTTTTCCTGAGCACGGCAGTATTGTCATGCTTGATTTTAAATGAAGAACTATACTGCAAGTCAATTCTTAAAAACTCACGTGATTTTTCTTCTCTGTGCGAAGAAAATTCTGAGAAATCTACAAGGAGTATTGTCGATTTCTTCTCGTTTTCGAACAAATAAAACAGGAACGGAGATTTATAAACACCGCGTTTGCGCGGACAAGATAACTGTGTGTTTCTCAAATATACAACTTCCTGTATGTGGATTGTCCATGCGGCGAAATTGAACGTGAACTTCTGATGGACGATACTGTAGCATCGTTGATAGGTTCCATCGAAATTACTCGCGATTGGTTTGTTGCCTAGGCGGCGAAATTGAAGGCGAATCCAAAACGAACGATATCTGCCGGTTTACTATTCGCACCTCAGTATGTGCGTTGTCCACGAAATTGAAGGCGATGGACATGACAATACCCACCCTAACATCGTAGGTAGGTTTGTAGTCAGCAAAATTGAAGGCGAAATTGAAGCTGGAGCTCTCTAACTGGCTCCAATTGAGTGGCTTATAGGACAAGGCGCAAACGTGCAAATTTTGGTATTCTGATAAATACGTGTTTGAAGTTTCGACATTACGTGGATCGTTACGGCGGAAAAGAAGTTCAAACTGACTTCTTGACGCTTAAACATTGTAATTTGGGAGCGAATTTTTCACAGAATATGCATTAAGACTAGTTTTACTTGAAATTGTACTATCTTAATTTTTTCAAAAACTGCACTCATGCGCCTTGTCCTCCAAGCCCCTCAATTCCATTGGCGAATCCAGCAACTTGGCAACACCGGATTTCGTCCATTTAAACCTATGAAAATGTATCGAATTTTGGAGGGGCTAGATGCTCCGAAAAGAATCGATTACTTACCATAGGTTTAAATGGAGGAAATCCGGTGTTGCCATATTTCTGGACCCGCCTCTGCTCAATTCTTCACCATCTCGACTTTGTCCGCACAAAATTCTCCGAAAATCTCAAGATCTGATCAATGAAGTATCCCGAACACTTCGGTCACCCTCCAGGTAGTCGATATCGAAAAGGCAACGGTCAAAACCACATCGACGAAGCCTCCAATTTTTACCTGGAGAGGAGCCTTTTAATTGAAGGTTCGACCAGGAGGTTGAGAATCCCGACAAACGCGGCTAAAACTCCGCGCTTGAGTAAGCTGATGGTACGCCTGGGGGGCCACGCCACCGGGGGGAGGGGGGGCGGAGGGGGCCGGCAGGGGAGGGACCGCGGCGCAGCGGGTGTGGGCTGGACTGAGAAAAAATCAAACAGGTTGTTTTTAGTCAAAGCAAGACGCTTGCAGGGAAGTGTCGAGCGTTCTTCCTCGCCGCATAGCGCGGCACCGGTTTTCGCGCTTCGCGTCCTCTCCAGCTTTCGCGGTTTTCCCGGACAATAGCTTCGCGATTTGTGCTTCCAGCTTAGTTCGCACTGGTTTTTTTTTAATTTTTAAACTGCATAAACACGCCCGGACAGGCCTGGCACAGTTTTAAATAAGAATTTTCGTATGGTCGTTTTAATCAATCTCAGATTCTCATCTTTTAATTAATCTCCGTTTATAAATACATAAACCTGAAGTGACATAAATTTCTAATTAAGCGTGTTGATATTGTGAATAGTTCAGTGATTTTCGACGTACCGGTCCGGATATTTGGATTGAGCTTTTTTCGGATTTTCTCGTTTGGCAATACAGGTATGTCAAGTTTTCTCAGCACGAAAAAGATACAACTGCTAATGAACTGCTTGGTCTGACCCAGTCTAACCAAGCCAAAAAAAATAATACATTACGCCTTTTATCAACTTTAGTACGCAGAATATATACCTAGATTTCTGAGTGTCCAATATTAAGAGGCATACATAGTTGGCCGGTTTTAATACCCGATGGAAATTTCAGATAGGTAAACCGAAGGTCTCGTTAAATGATGGGAAACTCTGATCGCTGCAAAATGAATGAGTTATAAAAGTTTTTATTGCATAAACTCCAAATTCGTGTTTATCATTTCGATTGCAACGCCCTAAAAATGTCTCTGCTTACTTTATTTTCACTATGAGAAATTCGCAAAGTCGCAAATTGAGTTAAGCTCCTTGCAGTGGGAGATAGATCTCTCTGCTGGAGATCCCTCGGCATTTAACGTGCAGCTGAAACCATGCTGAGTCAGCTCTGTTCGCCATTAAGCTCGAAAGTTGAAAGTTTGCAAATTTGCTGAATCTCAAACCTCATTCAAGCACAAGAAAACCGATTTTTCTCGCCTGTGCTTGTTGTAGATAGACAAGGGTGCCTACAAGATCAACAAGAATGTTAGTGTCTTCAATATCCATGGCGTTTTAACGACTTGGTTTTTTTTTTTTTTTTTTTTTTTTTTTTTTAAATTTTTCACCATCATTATGAATAGGACAGTGATGGCCAAAATCGGAAACCACGTACCTTCATTTTGCCGTGTGAAGGAAAAACGCCGTATGAACATTCGAGAGTCGTCAAATTTCCTCTAGTTAATGATTTATTTTTAAGGAGAGTTACGAATATTTTCTCTTGAAATTTTCTAAAAATTTAGAGCTTACCGCAAGTAAAAACCTCCGAAAAGTTGGAAGGAAAATGTTCACAGATTGCCTTGAAAATTTGTATTTTATCAAAGAAATTTGGCAACCTCTGAAGGCTCATACGGCGTTCTTCCTCAGAACGGCAACATTGCGCATTTTTCAATTTTAATAAATACGCTGGTTTTATTTTTCAAAGAAAAAAAACAATTTTACAGCTTGAAATTCTGAATATTCTGCTAACAAAGAAGAAAATCAAGAAATTTTTAAAGAAATTACGTTTAAAAAACCTGTAGTTTTCCAAAGAAAAAATACAGTTTGACAGGGAGTCTACAACGTTGGAAATGGAAATACGTGGATTTGCACCTTGGGCATCGATGGGTAACTCCGGTGTGATTCGTGCGCGGAAAAGGAGCTGAAATTTGACATGTTTTCCACTTATACTGTTTCAGCGATCTTTTTTGACTGAAAATTCAGAGGAAACAAAATTAAAAATAAGGAGGTATTCAGGTCGCCTGAATTGCTATTTCGTCCTTAATTTTCGCGGCAGGCCAGGTGTACAGAAAGTTCTTCGGCCTACGCAATTTTGAGGAATCAGGGATTTAGCCTACTCACCACAACATTACGCGTTTGCGGTAATTTTTAGCACAAATTGGCGCGTTCGCAGTAGTAATCTCAAATTTAAACGTGGCTGCCTTAATTTCATAAATTTCAACGCTTTTGCAGTAAATATGTAAAAAAATTCAACATTTAAGCTGTTTTCTAAAAAATTCAGCACTTGTGCATTAATTATCCACAAAAATGCATGGCTTTCGTCCTACTTTTGCAAAAGTTTGTGCGCTCGCACTGATATTAGCAAAACATCAACATCCTTGTCATAATTTTCGTTGAGCGTTTGCTCTTTAGAACAGAATTTTATTCTTTTTATTCCTGTAAGCGGACGTTTGGTTCAAGCGAACTTCTTTCATTTTTAACCTCACAAGTTCGGTTACACAAACTGAAAGTTGTGTTTGACGAACCGAATAGTTGGGATAATATGGAACACCATGTTTTCCTTCATTTTGTGGGTATGCAACTTTAACTTCTTGGAAGTTGAAATAGTTGTATCACGTGTTTCGCCCTATACAACTTTTCTACCCCGCGTTAAAGTCTCTCTGAGTCAGCCGGAAAGAATTCACGTTCTCCTTCATTTTGTGGGTCTGCAATTTTATCATCTTTAAAGTTGAAATAGTTTCATCACGTGTTTCGCCCTACGCAACTTATCTACCCTGCGTTAAAGTCTCTGAGTCAGCCGGAAAGAGTTCACGTTCTCCTTCATTTCGTGGATATGCAATTTTACCTTCTTGGAAGTCAAAATAGTTGTTGCACGTGTTTCGCCTCATTCACTTTTTATACTGCTCTGCGTTAAAGTCTCTGAGTCAGCCGAAAAGTACCCAATAGTACGTAACGATGGTTAATGTCGACAAATATGTACGTATCACCATCGAATAGTTTCAGAATCTTGAATTTACAATACCGTTGTACATGAAGAAAAATCTAGGGCTTGTAAACCAATCAGTGGTGCATATGGAACACCACTAATAGTAGTGAATGCGACATATAATAGTTTAGTTTGTTTAGTTACTTAATTTACGACGATCAGCAACAATAGTACATATACTATAGTTATGGTATATATACCATACTATGGTACGAGCTACAACAGTATGGTTCACAGACCGATAATCATTAGTTCATATACAACTATATTAACGATGTTCCGTATGAGCCACTAATCGGTTTATTAGACATAGCTTTTTCTCAGTGTACTGCTGTGCTAAGGAAGGACGCCGTATGAACATTCGAGAGTCGCCAAATTTCCCTTGATGAAACATGAATACCTGGCGACATTCATGCACATTTTTCTTTGAAATTTTCGGAATTATGGATTAAATTGCGTACAAAATTGTCCGAAAATTTTGGGGGAAAAAATATTCACAATCCTCCCGGTAAATTCAGAATTTTATCGAACGAAACTTGGCAACGTCTGAGGGCTCATACGCCGTTCTTCCTCATCGCCGCAGTGTAGATTTGTAACGCGCGGAGAAACGCATTTTTAGTGTATTTTCCGAAGAAAGTACACTATCTTTCAATTTCAGCAATCGACACGCAGTATGCGCATCTGATAATCCTAAAATTTTTTAGAGATGCAGAGGGACTAGATCATTGTGTAATTAGCGGAAAAGAGGCAAGTAAAAATCAGCGAAGAAATTAAAGTTCCTCGGAAAAGTAGTGTAACGACCGCCTTCAAGAACCGATGCATCTCTCGGGTCAAAAGTGTTAAATAAGGCCGCCCAGACCCAAATTTCGGAGCGGCAGGCTAACGGACGGAAAAGAATGCGTATCATGAATAATTAATTCGCCGGTTTTGTACAGTGATATGATGCCATATCTATGATTTAAAAATTAATTTTTTTTTGTACTCACTCAGTATGTAGTAGTTCAGCGGGGCGATTATTGAAATTTCTTGTTCGTCGGGACGACATAAATGACATAGGTTAAAAGGCGGAGCGTGATTGGTCGGCTATGTCTTATCGCTGCTTTATCGTGCCTTTGTCAGGTGGAATGATCGACATACAGTCGGAAACTTAAGAGGTGCCGTTAGCTTGNTTTTTTTTTTAAACGAAAATCAATTATTTTATTATGTTTATTTACAGGGTGGAATGATATTTAACAGAATATCACCCGAAGGCCTTGTTTACATTTTAAAAGAAAGTTCCTAAATAATACAGTTATTTGTTACTTATAATTCCCCCCTGTCCCGTGGAAGCTTAGATTTCTAAGTTAATAATAATTGTATCTTGAGTTCCTCAGACTCTAGTTTAATGTTGTGGTTGATTTTCCTCGGCATTACCATTTGGTTTCTCTTCGAGGGAGGGAAAGTTGGGTTTGACGAACCGAATAGTTGGGATAGTATGGAACACCATGTTCTCCTTCATTTTGTGGGTATGCTGTTTTATCTTCCTGGAAGTTGAAATAGTTGTATATCACGTGTTTCGCCCTATATAACTTTTCTACCCCGCGTTAAAGTCTCTGAGTCAGCCGGAAAGAGTTCACGTTCTCCTTCATTTCGTGGATATGCAATTTTACCTTCTTGGAAGTCAAAATAGTTGTAGCACGTGTTTTGCCTCATTCACTTTTTATACTGCTCTGCGTTAAAGTCTCTGAGTCAGCCGAAAAGTACCCAATAGTACGTATCTCCATCGTACTGTTTCAGAATCTTGAATTTATAATACCGTTGTACACGGAGAAAAATCTAGGGCTTGTAAACCAATCAGTGGTCCTCCTGGTAAATTCAGAATTTTATCGAACGAAACTTGGCAACGTCTGAAGGCTCATACGCCGTTCTTTCTCAGCGCCGCAGTGTAGATTTGTAACGCGCGGAGAAACGCATTTTTAGCGTATTTTCCGAAGAAAGTACACTATTTTTCAATTTCAGCAATCGATACGCAGTATGCGCATCTGATAATCCTAAAATTTTTAGAGATGCAGAAGGACTGGATCATAGTGTAATTAGCGGAAAAGAGGCAAGTAAAAATCAGTGAAGAAATTAAAGTTCCTCGGAAAAGTAGTGTAACGACCGCCTTCAAGAACCGATGCATCTCTCGGGTCAAAAGTGTTAAATAAGGCCGCCCAGACCCAAATTTCGGAGCGGCAGGCTAACGGACGGAAAAGAATGCGTATCATGAATAATTAATTCGCCGGTTTTGTACAGTGATATGATGCCATATCTTTGGTTTAAAAATCAATTTTTTTTTGTACGCACTCAGTGTAGTACACTGAGAAAAAACTATGGCTTATAAACCTATTAGTGGTAAATATGGAACACCACTAATAGTAGTACCTCTACATATAATAATAGCACATATACCTTAGTTATGGTCTCTGTACCTTAATTAGGTACAGAGACCTTAGTATGGTTCACCGACCGAGAATCATTAGTTTATTTACGACTATTATAGGTGTTCCATATTTACCTCTAATAGGTTTATAAACCATAGTTTTTTCTCAGTGTATAGCTCAGTGCTGCATATTATTTTTCGATGGCCTCCCTCGTTCACTTTTAGGAAACTTATTTTCTTAAACAAAATTTCAAATGAACCCAACAATATAGCTTGA